TGTCAACACTACAACATTTAAACAATTTGCGCAATAAATACCCGATATCTAGAAAAAATTAAAGGCCTGTGGGTACCCTGTTTGTCAGTACTCCCATCACGCGATTCTTTCGTGAATATAAGCTTGGTCTGATAAGTTCGGCACGGAAGAGAGCCGCACCAGTTGGTGGTACGACTATTCGCAGTACATGGTCGGGGAACAGTTTCATTGGCGGTGTAAGGTTCCATAGATCCTTCACCATGTATCCACGTGGATTATCAAGTCCCATGTTCTTTAGTTTGAACTCGACTTCCTAGAAATTGACGTTTATTAGTAAAAAAAACCATCAGGTTGGTTTGAAGTAAAAAAACACCAAACTTTAAACATCAGACAACCGCGCCGCAACCTGCAGCATACTCCGCCCACTCCATCAGCGGCGCGGTTGTGACTAATTATTCATTTTGAGCACTTTTTTGAGCAATGAATTGACAGCATATGCATTAACAATGAGCAGATTATCCTGCATTTCCAAACTCTCATGCGAGAGTGCAAGATGAACAGCCCATTTTTACTTGTAAACCGTGAAATTACTGCTTACATTAGCCTTAAGGTTCCTGTTGAGAAATCCCAAAGCAAATGAGGTATCTCTGTCGTAAACGGGTGTGATCGGCTTCACATAGGCACCAACACCTGAGACCTGAAATTATTGCACGGGAACATGAGAACAACCTGAACAATATATGTAACAGTCTTGTGCCTAGCCCAAAGCATGAGCGTTTGGGTTAATGCACTACTCACATTAGCCACCAATCGTCCCATCCTACCCATTGGATCTTGATCAATGGCGATAACTTCACGATTTAAAAGAATTTTCCGGAATTCTGGACCTATTATGCGAAGATCGTTGGACATAATCAGTGGGGCAGACCAAATGGACCATATGGTCATTTGTGCGATAGCCATATTCACGTTGATCCCAGGATTTCCAATGACGAGCTGGAAACAATACAAATAAGATAATTAGTACTCTGTAATAGATCTTACTAAAAATTACCATATCTGGATCATGCCATCGTCCGGGCCCATGAGTGGGAATATGCTTATTCTG